GGCGGAGCTTACGGTGAGCCGAGATTGCGCCACTGCACTCCAGCCTGGGTGACAGAGCGAGACTCCGTCTCAAAAAAAAAAAAGAAAATATAGGTGAGAATCAACCTCGGTAACAGACCCTGTTTCTACCCCATCTCTACTAAAAATAAAAAAAAAAAAAAAAAGAAAAAGAAAAAATTAACCGGTCGTGGTGGCGGGCGCCTGTAGTCCCAGCTACTCAGGAGGCTAAGGTAGGCGAATGGTGTGATCTCGGGAGGTGGAGCTTGCAGTGAGCTGAGATGGCACCACTGCACTCCTGCCTGAGTGACAGAGCGAGACTCCATCTCAAAAAAAAACTTGCGAAGTACTAGAAATATTTGATATTTTGACCTGGGTGCTGGTTACATGGTATGCATATATGTAATATGATACTAAATACACATACCTAAAAGTTCATCAAGCTGTATACTTAGGCTGGTTTGGGTGGCTCCTGCCTATAATCCCAGCACTTTAGAAGGCTGATACAGGCAGATCACCTGAGGTGAGGGGTTCGAAATCAGTCTGGCCAACATGACGAAACCCGATCTTTACTAAAAATACAAAAATTAGCCGGGCATTGTGGTGGTCGCCTGTAATCCCAGCTACTCAGGAGGCTGAGACAGGAGAATCGCCTGAACCTGGGAGGCAGAGGTTGCAGTGATCTGAGATCGTGCCACTGCACTCCAGCCTGGGTAACAGAGTGAGACTCAATCTAAAAAAAATAACTAAAAATAGAATAAAATAAATAAAAATACAAAAAAAATTAGCTGGGTGTAGTGGTGCATGCCTCTAATCCCAGCTACTCAGGAGGCTGAGGCAGAATTACTGGAACCAGGGAGGTAGAGGTTGCAGTGAGCCAAGATCGTGCCATTGCACTCCAGTCTGGGTGACAAGAGCAAAGCTCAATCTCAAAAAAGAAAAAAAAAAAAGTTGTATACTTAAAGTGTGTGTACTTTACTATCTCTAATTTACACAGCAATAAAAAAAATAACAAGGGGGCCGGGCGCGGTGGCTCATGCCTGTAATCCTAGCACTTTGGGAGGCCGAGGCGGGCAGATCACGAGGTCAGGAGATCGAGATCATCCTGGCTAACACAGTGAAACCCTGTCTCTACTAAAAATACAAAAAATTAGCCGGGTGTGGTGGCGGGCGCCTGTAGTCCCAGCTACTTGGGAGGCTGAGGCAGGAGAATGGTGTGAACCCAGGAGGCGGACCTTGTAGTGAGCCAAGATTGCACCACTGCACTCCAGCCTGGGCAACAGAACGAGACTCAAAAAAAAAAAGGGACAGGCCGGGCACAGTCTTCTGCAATCCCAGCACATTGGGAGGCCAAGGCGGGCAGATCCCCTGAGGTCGGGAGTTCAAGACCAGCCTGACCAACATGGAGAAACCCCACCTCTACTAAAACTACAAAATTAGCCAGGTGTGGTGGCGCATGCCTGTAATTCCAGCTACTCGGGAGGCGGAGGCAGGAGAATCGCTTGAGGCGGGGGTTGCGGTAAGTCAAATTCTGTCTCAAAAAAAAAAAAAAAAAGTAACAAGGGACAGTAACATTCTTGGCCCAAACACGTGTGTCTTTCTACCATCTTAAATAAATATTTAAAAACAGAACATTTCCAATACATATTAAAATATATAAATCTGAAAATATTGGTATACCATCTAAAATTACTCCCTGTAGACCGGGAATTTAAGTACCACACTTTGGTTAACGCATTCCAGGCACTCTGGGGGTTTTATATAAGCTGGTGCTTGGATGCTGGCAACCTGGGGAAATGCTGAGGCCAAGTGGAAATTGTGTAGCTAGGATCCTGCTTTGTCACCAGCCTGGGCTAGGGTTATTGAGTGCCAGCGCTCTGCTTCAAGGCACATGCCGGAAGGCTGGAGGGTGGGGAGGGAGATGAACTAGGAAAGGGGGCAAAGAAAAAGGGACAAGGGCAGATTCCCTCATACTCTGGCCCTTAGCCCAAGTCTTGGACTCCTGACCTCACCACAGATGAAATAGATGTAAAACAAGCCAATTGGTTTCCAAGTGGGAAGGGTGCCAGCCATAGTTTTTGCTGCCCAAGGAATCAATAAATACTCATTCTTATGATTCATGTTCATCCTGTTTTATTCCAAAGCATTTTACCAAAAAGCCCCTTGGTCCAGCCAAAAAGTTCGGGGCCAGGAGCCAGGACACCTGGACTCCAGATCTGCTTGTGGAAGATTTGGAACGTTGTTGGTGGAGGGGGGGGATCTCAGGTTCTCTCACTGTAATGTGGCAAGTACCATCTGTGGAGGAATTTTACATACATCATCTCATTTGACCTTCTGATCCCTGGTGAGAGAAGCAAAGTAAATAGGATTGCTATTCTAACTTTACAGATATGGAAACTGGGACCAGGGAAAGTTAATAAGACACTCAGATTCACACACTATTAAGAAGGTGGGGAAGCTGAAACTTTGGATTCCAAACCCTTTGCTCTTTCCTAGTCAAAACAATAGTCAGTTCTATGCCTCACTTTTCCTTTTTTTTTTTTTTTTAACGTATTATAATAGGGTGTGTGTGTTTGTAGAGGCAGGGTCTTGCTATGTTGTCTAAGCTGATCTCGAACTCCTGGGCTTAATCACTTAAGACCTCCTGTCTCGGTCTCCCAAAGTGCTGGGATTACAGGTGTGAGCCAGTACGCCTAGACCACCATGCCTCACTTTTAGTGCAGTGTGATCCTACACAAATTGCCCTGTGTATATTCCAAGGGCCAATCTGGGTTTGTAAGGCCAGAAACATGTGCAATTGCGGGGTGAGGGGTAGGTGGTCGGTGGCTCTTTTGACAAAAAAGAAAAAAAAAGATGAAAACAAAATTAAGTTCAGGGTCTTGGGCAGGTCCTGAAAGTTAGGGGCCTAGAAGCTGAAATTAATCTACGAGTGGTAAATCCGCCTCTCCTACATGCCAGTGCCCCCAAAAACAAACAAACAAACAAACAAAAACAGGACACACCAGATCTTGACAGGGCTTCCTCCCTGTTTGTGAAACGTGACAGAAGTGGGATCTGGAAGTCCTGGGAAAACAATCTCATTTCTCCCAGGAGACAAGAGGAATTACAGCAGCAAAGAGGCAGGCCGAGTGGAGGAGAAGGCTGCATGCCAGGGGAGAGTCGAAAGGGGCTGGGTGATCCAGCTGGCCGAGATGCGGGCAGTAGAGCCTCGGTGTGGGAGACTGGCAGCCTGAGAGCCAGGAGCAATGGCGCTGCCCCAGAAGCGGTGGCTGGAGGCTGGGCCTGCTGGAAGCAGGCTTCCTTCAGATGGTCTTCTGGCTCCCTGCATCCTGTCCTGATAACCTTTCCTCTGAAAAGGGGAGGCAAAGACAGACAACCACAGCCATGGTAGTGGGAGGGTGGGTGGTGGACCCCGTCCAGGCCTTTCATCCCCGGCCTGCTGTTTAGTGAACCGGGAGACGTCTCGTCGGAGGCTGCTCCGCTGCCGCCCGGAGCAGCGAGAACCGGGTGCTGGGCTCCCCTCGCGGCTGCCCGCCGCCGCCGGGGGGCAGCGCCTGCGGCCTGCTTTCCCAGGGCCGGCCGAGGCTTTTTGACAAGCTGATTGCGTGGCGGGGATTGGCTGGTCCGGGCGTGACGCCGGTAACAACAAAGGTGGAGTTGGAAGAAATTAGATTAAAGGAGAGAAAAAAAATTAAAGGGGGAGCTGGCAAAAGACAGGAGGTATAGACCGAGGGGGAGATGCGCCAAGTGGTGTCTCCCGGTTCCGACTCCCCCCCCCGCCTCGACCCCAGAAGATCCCTCGCGCAAACCCACTGGGATTTTGCTCTTTCCCCTACCCCCGCCCAGTGACCGACGCCGGGGTAGGAAGGATAGCCGCTTCTTCTTGAAAAATCCCCGCAACTCCCACCTTGACACCCCTCACTATGACCCAGGGGGAGAACTTTTTGCTCGGACTCCTCGGATCCTAAACCCAGCGAAGAGGGGGACATTGATAAGCTCGTCCTTTTAAAACCCGGAAGGCCCTCGCGGAGCATGGAGATCGGATAAGGCGGGGTGCTCCCTCGGTTTTCCGATGTGTTGCAAATCTAAGAGCTTCTTTCTCGCTTTTTTTTTTTTCCCCTGTAACTACCCCCCCTCCCTTTTGCTTCAGGGTTGCAAAAGCAAAGAGCAATAAAAAAAAAAAAAAAACGCGCACACACTCAGACACACACCAGTGGCGACAGGGGAGAGTTGGAAAGACGCAGGAGAGAAGCAGGAGGCAGGAGGCAGCGGGGATGGAGCAATGGGAGCGGGAAGCAGGCAGGTTTCCTTGCAAATCCCCCTCCGGCCTCACGCCGCCTCGCCGGCCCCGGCAGGGGAGCGAGGACCCCGGCGAACAGATGGAGGAGTGGAGCTCGCTCTAGGCAGCTGGGCTTGGCCGGAGAATGGAGGAGCCACCAAGCGACCGGCTGATTGGAAGAGAAACGCAGAGCGATGGAGGCGGGGGTAGGAGGACGATTTCTCTGCGGGGACTGGCGGCGGCGTACACGCCCGGGTCGGGCGCTGCAGAGCTTGGCTGGCTTTCAACCCGCGCTCGCCGGCTCCAGCCCCGCGCGCCCCCACCCCTAGCCCTCCCGGCGGCTCCGCAGGTGAGTGCGAGCTGCGGGCAGAAAGATCCAAAAGTCTCAACACGCCCGCCCTGCAAAAAAGGAAAAAAGAAAAAAAAGGAAGAAAACCATTTTACTTAAAAAAAAAATTTTTTTTTGTGCAACCCCTAAAGCAGTGGGAGGGAAGGGGTGAGGCTGAGCCGCCCGGAGGAGGCGGAGGGGCCAGGCGAGGCCGGGGTGGCCCGGGAGGCGGCGGCGCCGAGGCGGCTCTGACGGGCAAGCGCTCGGAGCGGCGCTGCGCTGCGCCGAGGCGGGCGGGCGGGCGGAGCGGGGCGGGCGGAGCGCGGCGCGTGGGGCTCGCCATTAGCCGTCGCTCCGCTTCGCCATCTCGGGCTTTGTCTGGCGACTCGCTGCCCCGGCGTCGGCTGCAGCGGAGCTGCGGCTCGGCTGTTCCGCCCGCCGTGCTCCCAGGTGCCCCCGGCCTGCGCTCCCATCCACACGCTCGGTAAGTGAGCCCGGGCGCCGCGGATTTCGGGGGAGAGGGGTTGCTACGAGTGGCGGCGGCACCGATCTCCATGCGCCCGGGCAGGCCTGGGGAGCCATGCCGGGCTGGATTGAACTGGCTCCCACAGCGGCCCCTCCGCCGGAGCCCGTCGTTCCCTCGCCGTTTCCGGGGTGTAAAGAGCAACGGGGATTTTTTTTTTTTTTAAACGCAGAGATTTTCGGTTTTGGGTTTTTTTAAAGTTTCCTATGTACCGTTCGGCAATGAGAGGATCGCGAGGTAGGCGCCGAAGCTGGACGCCGCGATCGGCGTGCGTGCGCCCCAAACCAGTGGCCACGCTCCGGGGGATGAGGGTGGGCGCGGACCGCTGGCTCCGGGAGGCGGGAGAGAGCTGGCCTGGAAGCCCCAGTCTGAGCTGGGAGGACTTGGGGGAGAGCTCCGGAGCAGGGCTGTGGGCGCCCCGCAAGCCTTCCTGGCCGCCGGGGGCCCCTCCGGGTACCCTCTCCGCGGCCGCGCCTCGGCCCTCCCTCCCGCGCCGGCAAAGCCTGCTAGTTCCCCCGCGGGTCTGGCGAGGTCGCTCTCGGCGCCCGCCCGCCCCGGCTCCGAGCCCCGCCGCCATCCGGGCGGCTGCGTGTCTCCCTGCCCCGGCCCCCCCTTCCCCGGCGGCGGCGGCGGCGGCGGCGGCAGCAGCAGCAGCAGCAGCAGCCGCCGCCGCCACCAGCACCAGCACCACCACCACCCCCCTCCCCTCCTTCCTTCCCTCCGCCTCGGCCGCCCGGGTCCCCCCAGCTCCCGCCCCTCCTCCCAGCTGCCCCCCGCGGAGCCCGCCCGGGCAGGCTGTGGGAGGGAGCGGAGCCGGCGAGGCGGGCGGGCTGGCGCTCGCTCCCCGGGGGTCGGTGTGCGCTCTACGGGGAAGGACGCGCTCGCTGCCCCGCTTCTCCCGCCCCCCCTCCCGCTCCTCCTCCTCCCTTCTCCCTCCTCCTCCCCGCTCCGGCGGCTGAGGCTGCGGCGGCGGCGGGGGGTGTGCGAGCTGAGGCCGGGGCCGGCGGCGGGCGGGCTGCCTGCAGGCGGAGGGCGCTGTGCTTTGTGCTTTTCGCCGCGAGGAGCAGCAGGCAGCAGCCACAGCCGCCGCCGCCGCCGCCACAGCAGCAGCAGCCGCCGCCCCAGCGCCGCCGCCTCGCCCGGAGGAGGAGCCGCTGCCGCCGCGGGAGGGAGCTGCGGCTGTGCCCGGCCGAGCGGGGGAGGGCGCCGCCACTCAGAGCCGGGGAGGGAGCCGCCGGAGCGGGAAGCCCGGAGGCCGCGCTGCGCCGGGTAACCGAGGCGGCTGAGGACGCGCGCTGGGTTCGGGGCCGGACAGCAGGGAGCGAACCGCGGGTTGCGGTGGGCGCCCAGCAGGGACCCGGAGCGACCACCGAGCAGGGGACCGGGCGCGAGCAGACCAGGGCACTTGGGAGGACGCCGAGAGCCGGGGGAGGGGAAGGCAGGAAGCGAGGCCTGAGCCGAGCCACGGCCGCTGGCGGAGGAGCCCGCGCTTCTCGGATCCGGCAGGCGCAGTTCTCCCCGGCCGCCGGAGGGGGCGGCGGGGCCGGTGAGCGCTGCGCCCCCGCCTCCCGGCCGCCGTCCTCCCGCCCTCTCCTTGGCTCGGCTCCCCGGAGGCCGGGGCGGGGGCGCCGGCGGGGCTGGGCCGCAGGCTCGGGGGAGGAGGCGGCGGTTCCCGCCGCGGTCGCGCCTCTGTGCCGGGCTCCTCCGTGCGCGTCGGGGTGGCTGGGTGGTGGCGGCGCCTCTGGCCGGGGTGGGTGGCTCGGGGGCGGGGGGCAGGCTAGGCCGCTTCTCTCCGGCTGCTCGCCCGCCTGTGCGGGCGGGGACGGCGAAGGGAGCCCGGGAGGGGGGAGCGGCGGGAATCCGGATCCGGTCCCCGGGGGCGGTGCGGCCGCTGCGCTCCGGGGCTGGCGGCGGCTGCGCTGCGTCCGGGTCCCCGCCGGGTTGCGGAGGCGGGGGGAACCGGCTGGGGGGAGGCGGGAGGAGGAGACTGGGGCGCGTGCCCGCTTCCGTGGCCGCGCGCGCCCTTTACCCGCCCTTCCTCTTCCCCCGCCCTCCAGCCTGGGGCCTCCCCGGGGCGGGCGCTCAGAGGAGGAGGAGATTTTTTTTTTTTTTTTTTTTTTTTTTTTGGCTGGGGTTGGGGAAGGGGGGCGGAGGGCGGGCGCTCGCTGCACGCGGGAGCTGGGAACAGGCCCTCGCGTGGGCAGGGGAGGGCGCGCGCCGCGGAGCCGGGCCGCAGGGGCTGGGGGAGGGGGGTCAGGAAGAAGAGGAGGGGCGTACTTTCCCTCCCAGAGACCCCTTAAGTCTGATAAGGTTATGGCTGGGTCTCTAAGAGCGTGGACCTGCCCACCTTTACTCTGGGCGGGGAGGGTTAGAAAGTCGTTCACCTCTCAGCCTTCCTGAGTGGGAACTTGTATGTCTTCCAAAGGGTGAGGTGGCTTTGACCCCGGGTTGCCCGGCCAGCACGACCGCGGAGGTGGCTGGACAGCTGGAGGATGAACGGAGAAGCCGACTGCCCCACAGACCTGGAAATGGCCGCCCCCAAAGGCCAAGGTAGGGGCATCCACTCCCAGCCCTCTGAAACTTAAACCCTCTTTGCCTCGTGGCTGTGGGGCACACTGCCTTCTTCAAGGGCTTTTCCAGTCTGCATACACTGAATTGGGGGAGAAAGTGCCTTGAGTACTTATGAATCAAGCATCTCCCACACTTGATTGGTTTGGCTGAATCCAAATTTTTTGGCCTGGAGTGGCTTACCTCCCCTCTCTCCCTGTCCCTCACACCCTATGTTAGAGGAGGCCTGCCTTCTGGGGTTTGCATTCAGCCTTAAGTGTGTCCCAGCCCAGTGTCCTGGAATGGGAGGAATGATGACTGTAGAGGAAGGGTCAGGAAGCGGTTAGGGAAGGCTTCTCAGGCTTTTTAGGAAGACCATGAGGCTTTTGTAGAGGCAGGTGGAGAAGAGGGCTGTTGTGGTGGTTTGAGGCCCCAAGCCATGGGATATATGTACTCAACTAGATCTCTGCCTCATTCAGCAGTGATCCAGTTTGGATGGGGGTGGAGGGTAGGATGGACCTGGGCAGCTGGCCATGCTTGTGGGACATTGAGGGGAGAGGGGATTATGGGTCCTTGTGGCCCATTCTGCAGAATCCCTGGCCTAGGTTACGAGATGCAAATGAAAATGGAGAGCCCTTTTGACTTCTGGCCTTGGGTGACTATTCTCCCAGCCCATCCACAGAGGCCTAGAGCTCTCTGGGGTTGCATTTCAGTGGCTGAAAATAACTGGTCAAGACCTGGTCTTGCTTCCCTGGGGAATTGGGCTGACAAGACAGCTTGTAATTCTGGGGGTTCTCCCTGGATCAGGGCCCTGAGAGCTTTTGTGCACCTGCCTACTTTGCCTCAGAGTTGCCCTGTATCCTGCTTCTGTTTCTGTTTCTTTTTTCTTATTTGCCAGAAATTCTCCCTTGATCTGCCTTGAGGGGCTAGGGGATAGTGGGTATCTCTAACATTGGTTTCCAGCTGTGCAGGAGAGACATCTGCATGAATTTTCCTTACTGCCCACACCCCATCCTCAGTCCTTGCACATTTAGAATATCCACTCAGAACTTGAACTTGGCAGCACATTTAGATACATTGCCTCCTTGCTTCCCTCCTCTGACAAGCTATCTCATTTCCCACAAAGTCCTGAATCACTGTACCTTCATTTCCACCCCTCTTCCCCTTACAGCAAATAGCTGCCTGTTGCAGCTTGGCACAGTAGAAATGATAATAGCTTTGAAGCAAGCCAGACTTGAGTTTGAGCCTGACTTTCTAGGTATAGCATGGTCTGGACTGGAGTCCCTGCCCTCATCCAGTGTGGCCACAGTTTCCTTAGGGCTGAGCCATATCTTGTCTCTGCCTTCAGATGGGAAGCAACCAGGGGCTGGGATGCCCTAGGGAGGAAGAGTTGAGCACTTAAGAACTGGGGAACAGATTTGGGGGATAGCATGAGCCAGGCATGATGGCCTCTGTTACCCTTCACCAGACCGTTGGTCCCAGGAAGACATGCTGACTTTGCTGGAATGCATGAAGAACAACCTTCCATCCAATGACAGCTCCAAATTCAAAACCACCGAATCACATATGGACTGGGAAAAAGTTGCATTTAAGGACTTTTCTGGAGACATGTGCAAGCTCAAATGGGTGGAGATTTCTAACGAGGTAACTGATCCCCCCTTTCTGACACACACACATACATATACAAACATTACCCCCTCCTCAGCCGTGGTAGGGGAAGTGAAACAGGCTGTAAACAGGAAGGAAAGAGACCAGGAGAGGCGTTCATGTGGTCGCCCGTTGGCTCTCTACCTGCCCCTTTGCATTTTGGGAGGTGGCACGGTTGACAGCACTGGCTTAAAGTTATGCCACTTTCTATCTGGGTGGTCTTGAGCCGAACAGCCTGAGCTGTGCTGAGATTGACAGAGGTGCTGACATGCTGAGATTGAAGGAGGTGCTGGCATGGACAACCAGGTTGAGGTCAGGTAGTCCCCTTGTTGCTGGCCTTTGGTGTGTACTGACTGCCTGGGCCTCTGTGGTAGGCATGGGCCAGTGCCTGGGTGTCAGGGTGCCTGCTTCATTTGGCTGTTGGCCTCTGCTCTTCTTTGGTAAATTTAGTCTAGTAAAGAGTAGAAGAGACCCGTTATAAGATGGGAGTATGCTACTGTGTGGCATTTTCCTTTTCCCAACTTCCCCTTCCTCCCGCCCCTCTTCTTCCAGGTGAGGAAGTTCCGTACGTTGACAGAATTGATCCTCGATGCTCAGGAACATGTTAAAAATCCTTACAAAGGCAAAAAACTGAAGGTGAGTTACTAGGAGGAGGAGCATGAGGGGTGGGGGAGGAAAGATCCAAAGAACGGATGGTATTTGACCTCCATTGTGTCCTTGTTCCTTGTCCCTTCTTCCAGAAACACCCAGACTTCCCAAAGAAGCCCCTTACCCCTTATTTCCGCTTCTTCATGGAGAAGCGGGCCAAGTATGCGAAACTCCACCCTGAGATGAGCAACCTGGACCTAACCAAGATTCTGTCCAAGAAATACAAGGAGCTTCCGGAGAAGAAGAAGGTGGGGGGAGGAGAGTTAAGGTGGGAGGAGGGGAGAGGCTGGGAGCAGCTGGTGTGGTGTGGGTCGGTTGGAGGTAGGCCTTGGAGAGACCTGGCATCAGGGACGAGGGTGAGTCAGCACAGCAGAGTAGGTCCTGGGCAGGCACACCTGATCGCCCCTTCCTCGGCCCACACGTGTTCAGGCACAGGCACCACCACAGATGCTCAGACAGCAGATGCTCAGACCAACCTTTCCCCCTACAGAAAACCCACAGCATTCTGTTTCATCAGGCTCTCTCCCCCATACACCCATCCTCACTGTTAGGCTGCGCAGCACTTCTTCACTCTCTATGACGTTTCCCGTCATGGTCTCATCTGATACTTGCGATGTCTTCATAAAGGTAACCCCAGGAAAAGGTTATCCCAGTTTTGTGGGCAAGGAACTGAGGTGCAGGAGGGTTAAGTGTCCCAGGTGACACAACTATTGATACTAGAGCAGGATTTAGTGCCCCAGAGTCCCAGTCCAGTGCTGTTACTGCCATGTCCACCTGTGAAGTGCACTTCCTTCTCCACACACACATGTTCACTCAAGGACACACATTGTCCCTCCTGGCCTCATACTGTTCCTTGCAGAGGTCGGGCACTATCCCAGACCATCAAAGCATTAACCCTGGTTGGAGGGTGGCCCAAGCCTCCCAGGCAGGACTGCAGCACAGAGCTCAGGAGGTCCCTCCCAGAGAAAGGCAGCAAAACATTGGAGGAGCCCTGCAGATGGGACATGAGGAAGATGGGATGGGGACAGGGGACATGAGACACTGGACAAGGAGACAGAGCCAGGGATAGATGGGGAAGGGCAGCGGGAAAGACAAGGAGCACATCTGCTTGGAGAGGAAACAAAGCCATACACAGCCAGTTCTCAAAAGGTGGCACCAGCCGCCGCTATGCTATTAGTAGCCCTTTTTCCTGGTTGGCATGCCCTGGCTGCAGACTGACATGCCCTTGGTGCTGTACCCAAAAAAGCCAGCTGTCTGCAACCACTGCCCAAGCAGAGCAGGGGTATGGATTGCTGGAACTGTTGTTGACTCTTTTGATAAGGATGTTGGACAGTTGACTGCACACACCCAAACACTCATGGGATGGGAGGGAGAGGCCAAGCTCTAGAGTCAGAGTCAGGGAAGGCCAGAAGAAACTGGTAGAGTGGATGAGGTGCTGTCCTGGGGGGCACAAGACTTGGGCCTGTTCTCCTGGCTCTGCCACTGAATCGCTGTGTATGGGGCCTTTGGTAAGTCATTTTACTTCTCTGGGCCTGGTCCTTATGTGAGGTGAGCCAGGTCTGTGTGGTGTTCTCCAGCTCTAAAACTGTTTTGTCTGAGGAGGACTGAGATTGGAGAAGAGGAGGCTGAGCTCTGCTTCTGGTTTTCTGTGGGAACTATGGGAAAGGAGCGCTGCCTCTCTCTGTCTGGTGCTTCTGTAAGAGGCGGGTTGGGCTCAATTGCCATGAGCACCTGGCACCTGCCAGTGCCACTCTTGTGAGCCTGCGAGGATGAAAGAAGAGATGGACATTGCGTGGCAGCCAAGAGAGGAGGTTGATGAAGAGAAAGAGACACATTGGAAAGGAGGAACAAGAGGGAGACTTTGCAGAAGTGGGGAAAGATGCAGGGAGGGAGTGAGGTGAGGGTGGGAAGGCAGTGGGGAGGCCAAAAAGGGGGTGATGAAGGGAAGGGAAGCCAAGTGGTGGGAGAGAATGAGTGGGCTGAGGGAGGGAGGGCTGGAGGGGACAGACAGCTGGGATCCTAGAGAAAGGAAAGAAGGTAATGGTGTCAGAAATGGGCGGGAAGGTACAGGGCAGCTGGCTGTGACTTGTATTGGAAGAACTTACTCTGGGTTCCCCTCCACACAATCTCCCCTCATGCCTTGGAAATAGGACTCAGCCCAGCCCTGGCCCTATGTAGAGGCCACCTCCAAGGGGCCAGACTAATGTCAGCTGCCTCAGACAGTGAGAAGAGGGAGCAAGGCCTGCACCCGACTCCACTGTGAGAGTTCTGTGGTATTGGAGAAACGAGTGGGGGAGCCTCAGCGCTGCCACCACGCACTGTGTGACTGTGGGTAATGCCATGGCCCCCTTCTGGGACTCTCGCTCAGAAGGAGAGAATAGGATATAGGATTCAGTGTCTGGGCAGCCCCTGCAGCTCCCACCATCTGTGGTAGAAGCCAGCAGGTCTGCTCTGTAGTGAGTCTCGCTGGGAGGCGGGCAGGGCACCAGCCTCCACTCCCTGCATCACAGCGTGGGAGGCAGAAGAGCCAGCGAGGAGGGGCCTGGGTAGCCTTCATAGCTCAGGGCAAGATACCCTTGGGTCCTGGGTGACCCTATCCCCTCCTCCCCCCAGATGAAATATATTCAGGACTTCCAGAGAGAGAAACAGGAGTTCGAGCGAAACCTGGCCCGATTCAGGTAAGGCAGTGGAGCCCAGAGGAGGGCTATGGGGAACTGGGGGCAGCAGAATAGGCTAACCCTGGCCAGAGCCATCTCTGAGGCATGGAAGAGGATGGGTCACATGTGAACCCTAGTGTGTCATGCTCAGGGGCAGGGACAGGCAGGCAGCCACTGTCCCACTGAGCCCCAGCTGAAAGGCCCAGGAGGCTTGGTGGGTGGGGCAGCTAGCTTGGGTCTGCCCTGGCAGCGTCCCCTGCTGATCCTTGCTCCCCATGTCCTGGCTAGGGAGGATCACCCCGACCTAATCCAGAATGCCAAGAAATCGGACATCCCAGAGAAGCCCAAAACCCCCCAGCAGCTGTGGTACACCCACGAGAAGAAGGTGTATCTCAAAGTGCGGCCAGATGTGAGTGTCCGGCCAAGGGCTGGGGGTGGAGGATGCACGGCGGTGGCCGGGGGGAGCCGCACCAGGTCGGCCGGGCACGGTGCAGGGGAGCAGGAGAGGAGGCCCCTCCCCAGGGGTGGGCTGCATGGACAGGGCCCGGGCCAGCTGGCGTGCGAGCGTGTGCGTGCGTGCGTGTGTGAGCCAGTCCCCTTGCACCTAGGCGGGATTGCCGCCTCTCCGCCTTCCCCTCCTGGCCTGTGGGGGACACTGATGTGACCTCCCATGGCCTGAGGGGGCGGGGGCCTCTGTGCCCCCTTCCCCCCTCCCCCTCCCCCTGCCCCTGGCTGCCTGTGCGTGTCTGACGGCTTTTGGTTTGCAGGCCACTACGAAGGAGGTGAAGGACTCCCTGGGGAAGCAGTGGTCTCAGCTCTCGGACAAAAAGAGGCTGAAATGGATTCATAAGGCCCTGGAGCAGCGGAAGGAGTACGAGGTTAGGCTTCCGCTGCGCTCCTCCCTGTCCGGCTCTTCACGAGCCTCTGCCCTCCGACTCCGTGGCCACCGCACTCTGCGGGAGGTGTCACTCCCCATCCTCTGTTGAGGGAGGGGCCTTCTGGGCCCCTCACCTCTGCCCCTACCTTCCCCACCCCCCACCCCTATGAGATCTCAGGCTAGGGCAGGGCAGGGCACCATGTCTCATGTGACACCATTGACGCGCAGCCATCCCCAGCTTTGCTCCCTGCCTGCCCTCCCCAGCGGCTCTCCCCGTGCCCCTGCCGCAGCTAACCCCACACCCCATTGCCCTCCATCCCCCCACCTGGCTCTGCAGGAGATCATGAGAGACTATATCCAGAAGCACCCAGAGCTGAACATCAGTGAGGAGGGCATCACCAAGTCCACCCTCACCAAAGCTGAACGCCAGCTCAAGGACAAGTTTGATGGGCGACCCACTAAGCCACCTCCGTGAGTGCTGCCCTGCGGTGGGTGGGCGAGTGGGCAGCTGGGAAGTTGGGCTGGGCTCTACGGGTGAGGCGGCCTGCTGTCCTGCTCGCTCACGGCCTCCGCCTCTCTCCCCATGGCTCTGATAGGAACAGCTACTCGCTGTACTGTGCAGAGCTCATGGCCAACATGAAGGACGTGCCCAGCACGGAGCGCATGGTGCTGTGCAGCCAGCAGTGGAAGCTGCTGTCCCAGAAGGAGAAGGACGCCTATCACAAGAAGTGTGACCAGGTGAGCTGTGGCAGGGGCCACCCTGCCTTGGGGTTTTGAAGCATGAGATCTGATCCCATCTTGGGCTAGTCAGTCCCTGGTGGCGTGTGCCTTGGGTACTTGCCTCCAATTCGGTGTGGGGCTGGGCTGGGCTTAGCAACTGAGCCCATCCAGGCAGGGAGTCCAGCCCACACCCAGGCTCTGGAGGCCCACTGAAGGTCACTGTCCTCCGAGTACTGCAGGGTCTGTGGTGACACACTGTCACCAGAATGATCCTGACTCCACTCACTTTCCCAGAAAAAGAAAGATTACGAGGTGGAGCTGCTCCGTTTCCTGGAGGTAAGTGTTCCTCCGGTAGGGCAGTGGGCAGAGAGGACTGGGGCTTGGCAGGCAGAGCCCTCGTGAGCCCTGTGCCCCTCTTTCCTCTCCAGAGCCTGCCTGAGGAGGAGCAGCAGCGGGTCCTGGGGGAGGAGAAGATGCTGAACATCAACAAGAAGCAGGCCACCAGCCCCGCCTCCAAGAAGCCAGCCCAGGAAGGGGGCAAGGTGGGCAGAGGGTGCGGCCGCGCAGGCGGGGGTGGGCAAGACTGGGCTCCCTGGCAGCACCACGGACCCCGACCCTCTGCACCTGGACAGGGCGGCTCCGAGAAGCCCAAGCGGCCCGTGTCGGCCATGTTCATCTTCTCGGAGGAGAAGCGGCGGCAGCTGCAGGAGGAGCGGCCTGAGCTCTCCGAGAGCGAGCTGACCCGCCTGCTGGCCCGAATGTGGAACGACCTGTCTGAGAAGAAGAAGGTCAGGCTGCCTGGCGGAGCGCCGTGCCCTCAGCGGGGCTGCCAGGGCCCCCTCCTCCCCTTGGCGGGCCGCGCCACCTCGCCCCTGGCTGCCTCAGCCAGCCTGAGCCACGCGGTGCCTGGGCTGGGACGTGGGGCCGGCGCCCAGCAGCCGGAAGGCGGGAAGCTGTCAGCTGAGCGCTGCGGGCCAGGCGGGGGCGAGCCCCAGGCGGGAGACATCTGCACCAGCCCACGCCTCTGCCTGCTGGCGGGTGCGCCTGAGCTGCTGCGCGGGGAGCGCGCGCCCCCTGGGGGTGGGTGGAAGGCTGACGCCCGGGCCATCCCCGCAGGCCAAGTACAAGGCCCGGGAGGCGGCGCTCAAGGCTCAGTCGGAGAGGAAGCCCGGCGGGGAGCGCGAGGAACGGGGCAAGCTGCCCGAGTCCCCCAAGAGAGCTGAGGAGATCTGGCAACAGAGTGTCATCGGCGACTACCTGGCCCGCTTCAAGGTGACGGGTGGGAAGAGGTAGTACTGCAGCCTGCAGCCCCGGGTGACCCCTCCCACGGCTGATACCCTTGTTGGTCCCCAGAATGACCGGGTGAAGGCCTTGAAAGCCATGGAAATGACCTGGAATAACATGGAAAAGAAGGAGAAACTGATGTGGATTAAGAAGGCAGCCGAAGACCAAAAGCGATACGAGGTAGGAATGGGGCTGGGGCCACCCCATTTGTTGAAAGCTCGAGCACTCCCCTTTGGGTGAGCCTCTCTGAGCAAGAAGGCCCAGTCTTGGTCTGTGACCCTCAGCAAGCCTCAGCTTCCTTCTCTGAACCCCTGTCTTTCATCAGTAAGGTGGGGGTGACATTGCTAGTCTCCAGGCTGACTCGGGGGACACGAGCAGTTGTGAAAGCACTTGTAAACTGTGGTGCCTGCTACAGATGTGAGCTGTTAGGAGGTTGCTCACTAGCTCTACCTGTTTCTCCTCCTCCCCAGCACAGAAAAAGACAGCCAGCTAAGGTGCTGATGGCATGGGGCAGAAGGCAACAGTATTTTGGGGGTGGGACTGGGGGGTGAGTGTGACCTTTCTCCCTCCAGAGAGAGCTGAGTGAGATGCGGGCACCTCCAGCTGCTACAAATTCTTCCAAGAAGATGAAATTCCAGGGAGAACCCAAGAAGCCTCCCATGTGAGCCTGGGGGCTGGAGCCTGCCCTGGAGGTGGGGGAGGGTCAGGGCTGGAGGGCTGCTTTGTTGGGGTCCTGACCCTCCTTGGACCACCCCCACCTTCCAGGAACGGTTACCAGAAGTTCTCCCAGGAGCTGCTGTCCAATGGGGAGCTGAACCACCTGCCGCTGAAGGAGCGCATGGTGGAAATAGGCAGCCGCTGGCAGCGCATCTCCCAGAGCCAGAAGGAGCACTACAAAAAGCTGGCCGAGGAGCAGCAAAAGCAGTACAAGGTGCATCTGGACCTCTGGGTCAAGGTGAGAGAGCAAGGGGCCCTTGAAAGGAACAGGGAGGCATCAGACTAAGCCAGCACCAGCCCAGCCTGGCCCACCCACCCACTTGTGCTGGCTGGTCTCATTCATGATTTCATTCCATGCCCTCGCAATCCTGCAGGATAACGGTTACTATGACCCTTTTATTTTTATATTTTGAGACAGTCTTGCTCTCTTGCACAGGCTGGAGTACAGTGGTGTGATCTCGGCTCACTGCAACCTCCACCTCCCAGGTTCAAGCGATCCTCCTTCCACAGCTCCAGAGTAGCTGGGGCTACAGACATGCACCACACCACCACACCTGGCTAATTTTTGTATTTTTAGTAGAGATGGGGTTTCACCGTATGTTGGGCAGGCTGGTCTTGAACTCCTGACCTCATGTGATCCGCCCACCTTGGCCTCCCAAAGCACTAGGATTACAGGCTTGAGCCACCGTCCCCAGCCACTATCACCCTTTTAAAAAATAAGGAAACCAAGGCTCAGAGAGGTTAAGTAACTTGTCCAAGGTCACACAGTAAGTTGAAGAATCCAAATCAGACTGCCTTTTCCTCCCCTATCTGGGACCATGGGACCTCTCCTAGACTGCTGGCCTTTGTGCTTCCCCTCTGTGCTTTGGGTGAGTAGTCAGATCTGAAAAGTGGAGGGAATCACCTGTGTCCTTCCCACTCACCAAGGCAGATTGGCCAAGGACCCAGGAAGATTGTGGGGATTTGCTGTTTCAGGAGCTTGGCGAGCCCCACTGCCTCATCAGTGGCTCAAGGGTTTGATGTTGGGGTGTGGTTGATGATGCCAGGCTGACTCATCACAGGGGCACTTCTTTGGAGTGAGGAAGAGTGAGGAAGACTCTGATAGGAGCTTCCATTTGTGTAGAGCAATAGGGTGAATGTGAAAACCAACAGTCTTAGTGGTTTATAGAAGGACTCTGGGCATCAGAAGCAGAAATACTAAAGCTTGGGCCAGTGCAGTGGCTCACGCCTGTAATCCTAGCACTTTGGGAGCCCAAGGTATGAAGGATCACTTGAGGCCAGGAGTTCAAGACCATCCTGGGCAACATAGCGAGACTGCTGTCTCTACAAAAATGATTATAAGGTAGCATGGTGTGGTGGTACACACCTGTAGTCCCAGCTACTCTGGAGGCTGAGTTGGAAGGCTCACTTGAGCCTGAGAAGGCCAAGTCGTGAGCTGAGACTGTGCCACTGCACTCCAGCCTGGGTGACACAGGACACAGAGCAAGACCCTGTTTCAAAAAAAAATTGGAGCTACTGCCTAGCACTGGGCCAGCATGCTCAGTCAGCAGTAGTTGGCTATATTCCAATCCTTGCCACCTCTGTCTCCCCCAGAGCCTGTCTCCCCAGGACCGTGCAGCATATAAAGAGTACATCTCCAACGTGAGTCTGGGAGCAGAGCAGCAGTGGGGTAGGGGTGGGGGGATTCAGGGGTGTCTGGAACTCACGGCTGCCACCTTCGTGTCCCCATCCTGCAGAAACGTAAGAGCATGACCAAGCTGCGAGGCCCAAACCCCAAATCCAGCCGGACGACTCTGCAGTCCAAGTCGGTAAGGAGCCCCTCCCAGATGCAGGGGCATGGGGCGGGTGGGACTGCCTGGAATGGCTGGGCAGAGACCAGAGACCACTGATGTGCCTCTGTCCCTCCAAGGAGTCCGAGGAGGAGGATGAAGAGGATGAGGATGATGAGGATGAGGATGAAGAAGAGGAAGATGATGAGAATGGGGACTCCTCTGAAGATGGCGGCGACTCCTCCGAGTCCAGCAGCGAGGACGAGAGCGAGGATGGGGATGAGGTGGGGCAGACAGGGCACAGTGGGAGGGGAGGGGATGCCTGCCAGGATGGTCACCTGATGACTCTCCACATCCTTTCTCACCCCCCAGAATGAAGAGGATGATGAGGACGAAGATGATGACGAGGATGACGATGAGGATGAAGACAACGAGTCCGAGGGCAGCAGCTCCAGCTCCTCCTCCTCAGGGGACTCCTCAGACTCTGACTCCAACTGAGGCTCAGCCCCACCCCAGGGCAGCCAGGGAGAGCCCAGGAGCTCCCCTCCCCAACTGACCACCTTTGTTTCTCCCCCATGTCCTGTCCCCTGCCCCCCTGGCATCCCCCACTTTCTTTCTTTCTTTTTAAAAAAAAAAAAAAATACGGTGGGGGTAGGGGGCTGGAGGAGCCCAGGCCAGGACTCTGCAGCCTCAGAGACATCAGCCCTTGGGGGTCCTCCTCCAGGGACAGCAACCATCAGACTAAGCCAGCACCGGACCAGCCTGGCCCACCCCACCGACTTCTCTGCACTTGCAGTTCCGGCATGGACAGTGTACCGGAGAGTGGGGGTGGGGGGGGTCCCAAAGAGTTCGACGAGGCCCTCCACACCTGCGGCCCAATCCAAGGTGGGGTGGAAGCTTGGGGAAGACGCATTCCTTCCCAGAGGGGCCTGCCACCTGGACCCCTGCATTGGAACTGGAGGCAGGGAATGTGGGGAGAGGAGGGCTGGTGCCTTCGAGAAAACAGGCGCTGCCCTGGTGGCCCTCTCCCCTGCCCCCTGCAGGAAGGAGCTGCCTGGACCCATTCATGGGGGAGGGGGCAGAAGTGTTTTTTATATATGTGTATATATTTTTTTTTAAGCTCTGAGCTGTCAACGAGACGTTTCCTACCGATCTCGGCTGCCGTCTCTGTTGTCATTTCTGGGAGAGGGAGGGTTTAGGGGTAGGTTTGGAACCTTTTAAAAATGGTCTTGATGTGTGTGGAAGAGAGTATGTGTATGTGTGTTCCTGTACATAGCATGGGTGCAGCTGTGGATGTGTGCAAAAGAGTGTGTGTGTGTGTGTGTGTGTAAGGGGGTCTGTCCTAGAGCCCACATCAGTTTGTTGTGAATCTGGAAAAAGGGTCGGTGAGAGCCGGGAGATGTTGACCCTGGTGGGAGCAGACTGAGGCTATCCCATTCTCCACATCCTCTGTTTTGCCCAGTCTCTGATTCCACTGGGGGAGTGTGCCGAAGCCACTCTAGGATGCTTCCCAGACCAGGCTCCCTCTGCCAGGGTCACATGCATCCGAGCTGCTGGTCTCCATTGTCCAGCAGGAAGGCTTCCGGAAAGACAGGCAAGATGGTGTGAAGCTTAAAGCTTGTATTTGGTGGAAAAGGCCTCCCCTGCTCATCTGAGGGGCCAAGCCTGGCCACCCTAGGCTCAGAACCTGGGCTTCAAGAAATGTGCTGGGAGCTCCTATCTTACACATCCCTCCAGCTTTCCTTAAATCCTCCCACCACCCCCTATTTCCTTTAATTTCTCAGGTCTGCTCCCTCCTCCCCCAACCCCACAGCTGGGCAAGAAGTCTGCAAAAGCTGCTTCTCAGCTGTCTCTAATTCTTCCCAGCCATTTCCCAAATTTTTTGGTACCTTATTCCTCTTAATAAGCCAAGTCACCTTATATCTGTAGTTCTTACTTTTTTGTTGACTAAATTTGGAGGGTTCTTTTTTTTTTATGATCATGTCAATGACCTATTAAATTGGGGCTTGGTGCTTTTCCACCTTCCCCCTCTGAGTGAAAGCCAAGGAATGGGGGAAGAGCGGGAACTTCGCCGCAGAAGTGGGGCAGGAATGGTGAAAGGCCCTGGGCCCAGAGAGGCTGGTGGGTCCCTCTCCCAAAGGCAGGCAGACAGTTTCTGCTTCGCCTTAGACCTTGGTGCTGGGGGTGGGGAGGTCTGGGGGGTTACTCTCCACTCCCATTCCCCTTCCTTTGTCCTAATCCTGGAATTAAGTAAAGGGGTTTATAGGTTCTATTTCTTCCCAAGAGCCCTGCAAAGAACCCCAGTCTCCTATTTGGCTGCCCTACACTGTTGTGTTTCAGTGGAATGTATTTTCATTTAAAAACAACTTGCAATGGGGCCCTTTTTTTTTTTCCTGTTTTAAAAATTGAAAAATTCTTACAGTACAAACAGGACTGTCAGGGTGGGGGTGTTGGTGCTGTAAGAGGTCACTCTTGAGTGCATTTTGGCACTGGGATGGGATGGCTGGGGTGGGAAGACCCCCGTCCCCACCCCCAACTTTTTTTCTAATATTTAAAGAGTGTTTTGTAGGATTCAACAACAACCACAACTTGAATTTGTATCATGGGAGGTGGGAGGGAGTGGCTTAGAGGTGTCTGCCTATGCTTAAAGCCAACTGTGGAAGTTTTGTTTTCCCTTTTTTGTATAATAAAGTGAAAAACAAAGGTTTGACTGCTGTCTGGTCACTGGAATCAATGAAGGTGATGTAGTTCACAGGGGTGACCCAACAGGTTTGATCTATAAAAATGCTTGAAGCCAATTTGCCTTTTTTCCCTAGAACTATCTTCCTCTTCCCTGAAGATTCCATAGGTAACCTATATTCACATTGTTCTGTGCTACTGTTCTTGCCCTTTTCTCAATTCCATTTGTTCACCTTGGGTTGTCAGACCACTAAAGACTCTGAGAAGTTGGAGAACAAATGCATTTTCATTCAGAGTACATGGCCTTGGGGAATTGGAGGTGATGAGCTATTAGGGTCAAGGGTTTGCCCTGGACATGCAACCCTTCCTAGTGTAGGGCTTATCGTGGGGAGTTGAGGGAGCACTCTCCCACTCTGAGCCTTCAGCTCCACCCCGGGTTAAAGGTTAAGGGTTAAGGATGACTTTCCTAAGACCATCTAGACTTCTGATGGGAAGCAGGCTGGGCTGGGCTGAGATGACTTGCTCCCTGAGATTAAGGAAGACATCCTTCCCCGTGCAGGCCTTGGCTGGGTTCCTGGAACCTCAAAGGGCTGCAGACCCAGGTCCCGTCCAAGAACTCTCTCCCAGCCCTCACCCCTATCCTATACTGGCCAAACTTCTAAAAAGCTTGTTGTGCCTCTTGGCCTCCAACTTACCAATATCCCTTGAGGCTCCTTGCTAAGGTCACCAACATGTTCATTACATCTGGTGAACACTTGTCTGTCTTTCGCCTTCTTGATCTACTCTGCCGGTGTCAGCTCTTCCTCATTTTATCCCAGGTGTTCATGTCTCTCCCTTCAACCTCCCAAGATCGCCAATATGCAACCATTCTGAAGGGTGGTGCCGACAGAGACTGCTCTTCCAAGCTGCAGACCTGTGTAGACACCCTTGCATCCTCTGGGATATCTTGCAGGCATCTCATACCTCAAGACCTGAAATGATTACCAAACGCTTAGTCGTTCAACCTAGAAAGCAGAGTATTGGCCTTGACTTCTCTCTCCCTTTCACCTCCAGGTTCAATCACCTAGACCTCTCCATTCCACTTCCTAAAGCTGTCTCAAATCTGTCGACCCCTCCCACAGGGTGACTCCCACAGCTGCCACGCCCATCCTATTTAAGGCCACCATCATTGCGCAACTTCTGCAAAGACCTCCTAAAGCTGATCTTCCTGCTTGCACTCTCGCCCCCTACAGCCCATTCTTCACATGGCAGCCAAAGTTATCTCAGAAATAAATCTGATTATTTCTGTACTGAAAATTTACCATGTCTTACCATGGCCTTACAAGGTTTGGCCCCTGCATTCCTTCTCTTATCTTCGCTCACCCTGCTCTTCCTAACCACTCACAGTGATCCAGCCAAGTGATCTCTTTTGTTCCTCAAACACGCCTACCCGCGGGGTCTTGGCACCTGTTCTTTCTGCCCAGAATGGCTATTCCTCCAACTCTACACATACCTGATGTTTTTTTCATCCTTTAGGCCTCAACTCACATGTCCTCTCTCAGCGAAGCCTTTCCCAACCACCTGCTCTAGAGAGGCGTCCTCCATCTTCTTGTTTATGTATTTGTTTATTATCTATCTCACCAAGTAGAAGACACCTTATCTGCTTGTTCATTACAGTAATCTCAGCACCTGAAACTGCCTGATATACATTCGACACCCAAGAAAGATTTGTTGAGTGGGTGAATAAGTCTGGCCCACAAGGCCCTAGGGGATCTGCTGCCCCTGTTAGCCCTGCCCTGGCTCTAGCCACACTGGCCATTCATATCTCGAACATAACATGCTCTGTCCCAGGGTCTATACACATGGTGTTCTCTCTGCCTAGTTAATTCAGGGCTCCACTTAAAAGACCACTTTCTTCCCTGAGCTCCTGAGAAAAAGGGTCTCCACACTATATGTTTCTTCAGCAGCCTGAATGCCTTCACACTCAGGCCTTATTTCCTTCCCATCAGGCCTTGCTAGGCTGTAAGCCACGCTAGGACAAGGTTTGTATGTCTCTCTTGCTTGCTGCTGTAACCCCAGGGTCTCACCCAGAGTCAGGACCAGCTCAGGCCTTAGTGTTTATGAACTGGTGCTAACAGTGAAGACTGGTACGTGCCCAAAGAGGTCACCACCACAGAGCAGCCCAGGCCAAGCACAGAATGAACAGTACAGTCTAGTTGTACAGAAGTTTGGTATGAGGATGGCCACGGGTGGGGATATGAGGAAAGATTTAGGTCAACAGGGAGAAGCCAGGAGGATTTTCTGGCCATGGCGCAAATTCCTTAGGGCAGAATGTACTGGGCATATTTAGGTAAGAAACAGATCAGCATCACTGGCGGGAAGAATTCCTGAAAAGGAGGTGGGAGATAAGAGAAAAAGAAGGCTGAGGCTATGTTGCTGAAGTTCCTGAAAATCTAGCTTACTTCTCTGTGCCAGATCTAAGTTCAATCACCTCTCGGGTCTCCATCAGCTGATCCCACAGAAACCTCAATATATCCCAGAGTGAAGTCATCCTCCCATGTCCTCCCCTGAGTTCCCCATCCTAGTTAAAGGTGTTTTCGAGACCTCCCTCTCCTTTCCTCCACACACCCCAATCAGTAACAAAAACCTACTGCTTTTGGCCAAGCCCAGTGGCTCATGCCAGTAATCCCAGCATTTGGGAGGCTGAGGCAGGTGGCTTTCCTAAGGTCAGAAGTTCGAGACCAGCCTGGCCAACATGGTGAAACCCTGTCTCTACTAAAAATATAAAACAAAAATTAGCTGAGCAAGGTGGCATGTGCCCGTAATCCCAGCTATTAGGGAGGCTGAGGCATGAGAATCGCTTGAACCCGGGAGGCAGAAGTTGCAGTGTGCTGAGATCACACCACTGCACTCCAGCCTGAGTGACAGAGCAAAACGCTAAAAAAACAAAACAAAACAAAAAAACCCACTGCTTCTAAGTTATTCTCCAGACCACACTCCAGCATGATCTACTAAATATATAAGTCTGGTGAATGATTCCCCTTGAGGATTCCTCATGGCTTACAGGCGAAACTTTCAACACCTACTTGCTTTGTCCTGTATGATCCAGCCTGCTCACCTCCAGCTATTCTGCCACCCAATCCTCTGTTTCAGCTTGATCCAGGCTTCTGAAGCTTCCGGTTGGGGATATCCAATGCTTTCTTGGCCTACCTTCACCTGGTTCATCTCCCACTACAAGAAGTTTTTCTTTTTCTTCTTTTTTGTTTTGTTTTGTTTTGTTTTGAGACAGCATCTCGCTCTGTCGCCCAGGCTGGAGTGCAGTGGTGCAATCTCAGCTCACTGCAACTTCCGCCTCCCAGGTTCAAGCGATTCTCCTGCCTCAGCCTCCTGAGTAGCTGAGATTACAGGAGCATGCCACCACACTCAGCTAATTTTTGCATTTTTGCAGGCTGGTCTTGAGCTCCTGGCCTCCCAAAGTGCTGGAATGACAGGCCTGGGCCACCCCGCCCAACCCAAGAAGCCTTTCTTGACCAACTCTCTTACATTATTTGATGTCTCCTTCTGGCTACCTCTGTTCTCTCTCTCTCTGCTGTTTTCGTCACACTCTTTTGCAATTATTATCCTACCGGTCTATCCCACAAGACAGTGAACTTCTTGAAGAAGCACAACTGTCTTATATCATCTTTTATCCCAGCACCTGGAGCACCGTAAGAATAACAGCTAAGATTTACCAAGCACTTACACAGAGCTAAGAGTTTCACATGCACTGACTTGTTAATCACTACAGCAACGTAATGAGATAGGACTATCGTTATGCCCACTGACAACAGAGGAAACTGAGGCAGAGGAAACTCATTTGCTAGATCCAACGATTTAAATTCAAATCAGACGCCTGATCTTAACTACTCTGGAATATCGCCTCAATAAATGTTTGCTGTTTCTCAGGAGAAATCGGTGAGAATAAAATAAATATTTGCGGAAAACTAAAAACCAAAGATGGCTCCAAGCATGTGATTTCAGACTATCCTCCTTTTTAATCTTATCTCTTGAGGGGAGAGGGCTGTCACACAACCGTTCCAGGACACCAGACACAGAGTAACCGAGATGAAAGCGCCAATCCAGCCATCCAGCGCGGCTGGGAAAAGGCCCGCTCCTTCCTAAAGAGGGACTGAGAGCGTGAGCATAGGGACACTCTGCACCCAGGAGAAAAGCACTGGGTCGGGGGAAGGATCTGGCCAGTGCCAGGCAGGCTGTCTTGAGGGGTGGGGGGTCCAGCGTGGGTTCCGGAAGCAGGAAAGGCAAGCAGGTGTGGGATCTAAATTAGGATGAGGGGTGGGGAGGGCGCTCCGCGCAGAAGGGCGCAGCTTGGCCTCCGACCTCAGCAGCGGACCCTCATCTCGGCCGCTTGTTGGTCCGCAGGCCTGGCGTGGGCTGAGACCCGCCCAGAAACCAGGAGAACTGAGGCGCGGGCGAGCCCCTTCGATTCTACGGGCTTTCCGCTCCGAGGTCCTAACTGCGCCCCACTTCAAGTCTGGCCTCTTCACAGAAGTGGCTGCACGCCTCGGGGTAAAGGGGGGAGCGGAGGGTGGGGGGGGAGAGAGCGGGGAGCCCCGAGGGAAGGGCGGGGAAGCCTGGGCCGGAAGGCGTCCCAGGATCGGCTGGGAGCCGGCGCTCTCTTTCGACGCCACCCGCTGCCCCCGCCCCCGAGCCGGCCGGGACGGCACAATGTCTCCGCCCCCAGCGCACCGCGCACCTCACCTTGAACGCCGCCCCACCCACCCCCATCTTATTGGGCCTCCCGGGCCGAGGCCTCTCGGCGATTGGTCGGAGAGGTCCGCGAAGGCCCCGCCCATCTCCCCGCCCCCGTCCCCGTCCGCCGGTACTTTGGACGGCGGCGTGGCGCCCCTCCTCCCCTCCCGGTCCCCGCCCCCTGGAGCAAATGCTGCCGAGCTGCGGCCGCGGGGCAGATGCACGCGCTCGGGCCCTTCTAGCAGGCGCGAGCAGTCGCTGGGCGCGCGAAAGCGAAAGAAGGAAGAGGAAGGGAG